CAGGATTCCTTCCATTTCCACAGCTATGATAAACATTAATTAGTGTAACCATTTGTCCTTCCATTTTCCCCTTGATCACCACATACCTCCCCTCTCTGTCATATATTTCTTTGTTTATTTCAAATTTTACTGAGTTCCCAATTAGTGTAGCCACCCCTCTCCTACCTTGCTTAAATGAACTATAAAATGTGTTGTTATATCCATACCTTTTCAGTTTTTCATGTTCTTGTACTGATAGGTGAGTTTCTTGCAATAAGATAACCTGCATCTCCTCCTTTCTAAATTTGGTTAATACTTTCCCCCTTTTAATCGGATTGTTCAAACCATTGACATTTAACGACACCATTTTGATTCCCCTACGTTGCATTATATTTCCCTTCAAAGCATCTTTTCGTTCCCTCCATGTCACAAAACACAATATATATAGTAGCAGCAACCGCTAAGCCAAACAAATACAAATTAAACATCAGAACTTGGTCTTCCAAGGTTTTCGGGGGTTTCAAAAATATCCCCCTTTCCCCCGCTGGTGGGTGGAAGGTAAGGCCTCTCCTAGTGAGAGGGCCCCCCCCTAGTGGCGGAGATCTCTCCTGTGGCTGATCTCCCAAGCTCACTATAATTGTCCAGCGTGTGGTTTAAACTCCGGAGCTCCCGGCCGGAACTTTGTGAACATTTTTCATATAGTCTTTAAACCCCTGGTCTCTGTATTGGCGATGGAGGTGATTCTATGTTTCTAGTGAATTAGCACTTCTTTAAATTAGTCCGAATCAAATCGTAAAATGTTATAGATAAATAATTCCCCAGCCTGCATACATGTCCATACAGATTCCTTTTATAAAAACAAACAACAATCTTTCTTACTCACCCACTGCAGTATTTCAAAGGTATTTTCGAGGCACAAAATAAAAGGCTATAGCATTTATAAGTAATTTGGTTAAATCTGTTTGTGTCTGTGCTCTGTCTTTTTCTGATCGCCGTGGCCCGTCACCTCTCATCCTTCTGTCTTTTCAACGCCGTATCCTGTTCCCTCATAGACTACTCATCAACACCCTCGATACGGTGCCGGTCTTCCCTCACTCCCATCTCGTTGTTGTCTCCCCGCTCTCGTCTCCGAAGTCTGGTCCACTTGCGCGCTGCCTCCAGTCTCTGCAGCAGCGTAGGTCTCTCTACTCCCGGGTCCGGCACCTGCCAGCCTCTCTGCGGCATCGCCCTCGCCGCGTCCTGAGCACTCTTATACACTATCGTTCCTTCGTTCCAATAAACCCTCAGTGTGTCCATTGGAGATTGAAAACGAATCCCCTTATCTTTGAGAATTCTCTTGAGCCTCGCATATTTCCGACGTTTAACCGCCACCTCAGAAGAATAATCGTGGTCGAATGTCACTCTCCGTCCCTTCACTTCCATCGCCGTTCGCCAGGCCATCTTAATGACGTTCTCCTTGACCTCGGACCTCAAGAAGTTGACAATAATGGCTCTTGGGGGTTTGTCTGGTTGTGGTTTTGGGGCAGGTGCCCTGTGCGCCGTTTGAATCTCCAACTTAATATCCTCCGACATTCCCAGCTCCTTGTGAATTAACCTGTCCACGTACTCGGAGACCGATTCTCCCTCTATTCCCTCCTTCAACCCCCAGATTCGTATATTATTTCTTCTCGACCTCCCTTCTATGTCGGACAGCTTATCTTGGAGCTTGGTTTGTTGTTCAAGAGAGGCCGTAATAATTGTCCTGGACGTCGGTACTCCACTCCTCGACCCCAGCCGTACGCTCTTCTAGGATCTCCATATCCTTCTTTTGGGCCCGCAACTCCGCCTCAGCGGTCTCAAAGTTTCTATTTGTTTCCTCTCTGAAGCTATCAAGCCCTTGCTTCATATCTTCTCCGTGTTTGTCCATATATTCTCTCAGTTGTCCCATTTCTTCACGTACTCCTCTTAGATTGTCTTCCATCCGGCTGCCAATTTGATCCAGTTTAGCATCCATGTTGTGCTGGGCTTTCTCGAGTTTATCCCGCATGGCATCTAAGCTAGTCTGCAGCGCCGACACCCAGCTAGGTTGCTCGTCGTTGCTAGCTTTAGCATTAGCCGTTAGCGGCTGACTGTGTTCCGTCTGGACCTGCATCTCTCCCAGCTGTTTTTCGGCTTTCGCCTTTTTCTCCGTTCCTTTCTTATTTAATAATTTGCTCATGACCTATTCTTCCAACTTCGAATCACATTTATCGGGGTTTTCTTCCTTTTTGAACTTGTTTGGCCGGGAGCTCCTCTTCTTAGCTGCTTATCGCCTCATGTGTAAACCGGAAGTCCATTTAGTCGGTTTTTATACGCTGGATACCATTTTAAATAGCATTCTTGGTGTAGATGAATTCATAATAAATTGTTGTTTTTACTGGTTAAAGTATTGTTTGTAAACGTGTCTGATATTGATAAATAAATATCATACTCTTGGGAGTCTTGAACCTTTTTGTTGACTGCCAACTCTATCATGTTTTTAATTTAATCTGTGGAGTTTTGCTGTTTGATACATTTGAGTTAAAGGGCACATTTGATCAGTAGAACAGCTACACTTTAGGCTGTGTGCACGGCCGTGGTCACACTGGTTGTCTTGCTCAGTACAAAGCGGGGATTAGGGCAGTGGCGTAGCCACTATAGGGCCAGGGTGGGCCCAGGTCCACCCAGTTTACTCATTGGCCCACCCTGAGAAAGCTTCGGTGTTATTTAAAAAAAATTTTTTTTATTTTTTTTAATTATTATTAATAATAAAAAAAAGTATTCACCCATTGAGAATATCCAAGAATTCAAAGTGAAATTCAAGTGAACAAATATTGAGTTTAATTAATGTTGTATGTGCTTTATCTTCTGAACCGAACTCATTTACGGTAAAAACTGATTGTTGGTTCCGGCGCGCGCCATAATAACCTGAGAGAGGCAGAGAGCTGCCTGCAAAATAAATGATGGCTCAAAGTTCACTAATGAACGTTGTTTTTTTTTTTAAAAGCCAGACTCCAAGAAGAGCCCCCATTGCCCTCATCTAGCAGCGATCTATACGATCATGTTCTGATAACGATTAAATAGCCCCGCCTCCCTCTCCCCACCTCTCCTGCTGCTGGGCTGTCAGAAGAACAAAAAATGTTAACGAAAACTCTGCCGCACGGTTCCCTCGTCCCTTGGAAGAGGCGGAGAGGTGGGTGTTTTTCATCTGCTGGTGGACAGTCCGGAGAGATATACACAGGGTTGGGTTGTAACGGAATACATGTAACGGCGTTACGTAATCAGAATACAAAAATCAAGTGTATTCAGCTGGCGTTACATTTGAAAAACGAGTAATCTGATTACAGTTACTTTCGTAAACATGAAGTGAATACATTTTGGAATACTTATTGGAATTATTGGTGGAAAAGTTTCCTCACAAAATGTAATATTCATTACCGGCAGAACTGTGTGCACACTGCACAGCGCTGCAGCAAGTCTGTGAGCGAGAGAGAGATGCAGCGTGCCTGTGAGGCCCCGCCCCCGCACGCAGATGAGAGAGAGATCTCTTTCAAAATATATTGAAAGTTAGAAACGGAGATGGTTAGATAAAATGTGCAAGATAACGTTTATGTAGCATTTCTTTATTGTCGAAATGATGACATTTATAACGGGATCAAATCAAAGTGAATGGCCTGCTGCTGCTGAATGCATGCGGCAAGTGACTGGAAAAAGTTTTTTAAGTTATTACATCGTTTCAGATAATAAATAATAATGATAATTCATTCTATTTAGGGGCGCCTTTCAAAGCACCCAAGGACACCTTACAATTCATAACATATTACAAGGAAAGGTTTTAAGACAGTACAAAGAATGCAGTCCGGGTGATGTTTTTTATGTGGGGTGCAGATGAGAGAGCTGTCCAGAATGACACCAAGATGTTGTGTTTGTGCTCTTGATAAGCCATTAAAACAGTAAAATACGTGTCTCCTGTTCACCAAAACATACCCATCTGTTATGGAAAAAGAAAGTATTCCAAAAGTATTCTAAAAGTAATCTGCCACCGGTACCGGCTGGGATTGTTGTTAGCTTCTGATGCGCAGAAGAAAAATCTGGCCCACCCTATTTTTTACAGGCCCACCCTAAAGTACATTTCTGCCTACGCTACTGGATTAGGGGCTGAATGTCCGCTGGATCGGCGAGGCATTGAGCCAACACTGATTGTTAATCCTCACAGACTGTTGCACCTCACTGATTACTATCTTGGCCTCTTCCTCTTCCCTTTGTGCAGCCATGCTTTGCATCCCTCACCACTCTATTGCGACCTAATCAGGAGGAAAAGGCAAACGTGTTTTGTCTATCTCCTGTCCTGCACAGGCAGAAGAGAGTAAAGTAAGATCTGACAAGAGGGGAAGTATTAAGAGGCTAGATGAGATACCACCCAGGGCGGAGGGCAATCCTGAGCCCGGACAAGTCATTTGAACAAGAATAATTAACTTGAATCCCAAAGATGCACTGGTTATCAATCCCTATAGGGACATAAACAAGTTGCTTCATGTTTATAGTGCACACTGGACACTCATTGTTCACACTTTTCATTTTCTTATTTATTTATCCACGTATACTGATTTTGCATTATTTTGTATGACAATCATTAAGAAAAGCAAAGACACATGTTGTGCATGCAAATTATTAATACACGATTAAAGGAAATATTTGAACGAATTCCTTGATAAATCAGGTACCACAATAAAACAATGGCACTCCCTAACTGACCAGAACTATCACTTTTACATTTTTGAACAAAACTGCTACACAAAAGCTCTTTTTCAGATTGACAGTGAAAGCAGATGACATACACATCAGAGCTGTGCCTGAATCTTATGAAGACACACACACACACACACACACACACACACACACACACACACACACACACACACACACACACACACACACACACACACACACACACACACACACACACACACACACACACACACACACACACAGGCCATGATGGTTTGTTTCGTCAGGTCACTCACCTACAGGCAGACTCTTGCCGTGGATCTTGTCGGCCCAGCCTGCGTAGTAACGCAGAGTTTTGATACTGCCGTCCAGGTCAACAAAAAATGACTGCAGGAAGGGCTTCCCTGTGTCCAGGGTCTCCAGAGTCTAAAAAGTCAGGACCAAATAGCATCACTAGCAAGTTGATGTTTAGCTGAACTCTTGGACTCTGAAGAAATGTGATCTGTGGCTGTAACTTTAAATTATGCACGGGTGCCCAATTATAGAGCTTTGAGTTCAATATTGTTGGAAACAAACATCCTGATTAATCAAACTTATTCAGAAGATAACATTTCCGTGAATTTCAGTCTGACATTCAAATAAAGTGGTCTAGAGAGTCAGGAGAAACCTTTCTGAAATGGAAAGCTGTAAAAGGCTAAGACATGTGCTTTTCTTTCATTTTGAAGTGTTGGTAATTCCCTGTAGCTTCCAGGCCTCCTCTTGCAAAGCTTGGTTTTATTTCTGCTGTACAATACGTTAGTGATGTATAACGTATAGTATACATATGTTGCTTCCACATACATTAATACAAATAATATATTTTGCATTCCTATTTGTATGTTTGAATGTGTCAGATGGGAATAATGTTATTGTGTATCTGCAAGTATGCTGGAGTTATTTTATTCTAAAAGGCAGTGGTGAGCCGTCAGGGCCCTCGAGGCCCTCTCTGAGGGCCTAAGATATTCTACAAAATAATAGTAAAAAACATTAAAAAAATATATATATTTTTGAATATTTGTTTTTAAAATATTTTTTTAGTTATATTTTTCATTAGTTCTACCAAAATAACTTGATCTAATTGAATTTAAAATAACATTTCCAAAGAAATAAATCCTTCGAATCTGCCTATTCAGTTTCTGTTGGAATGTGAAGGGTTAAATGAAAGAAGCTCCTTTAGCCGTCTCTGCGAGTTACTGTGAAGAGAGGAGCTGATTGGTGGTCCTACTGTAAATTCACAGAGGGCCCAGCTATAGTAACTGAACGAGAGAGTAATGTCAAATGACAGTACAATTGACCAATCATATCTTCCCTCTAAATGGGTGGGTTTTATTATCGCTGACTTTATGACAAGTTCTGCCCGCTGTGAAGCTTTTCTTGTTTCCATAGCAACAACAACTTCCTGTCAACAGCCTAAACTCGCCTTCAAAATAAAAGCATACCAAATTACACTTAAGACATAACGAAAGTAACAAACACAATGCAATATCCTTTTCAATTTCAAAGAACACAAATTGGGTTATATACAGGTGTTGTTGTGTGTGGTAGAGGGTCGCTGTGATCGATGCGTCATTGTTTTGTTTTGATATTCCGCTGAAGTATACGCTGTGACGTAATAACTATTTTTTTTTCGAGGGAAGGGGTGGGGGTCAGAGGGCTTAGGTATAAAAGTCACGGCTCGCCACTGGTCAAATGAATATTTCGACTGTACCTTGGCAATTGAGTTATTGCTGAAAAAAACTTGGAAAAAAAGACACAAAAAGACCGAAGCACTTTTTAGTTCATTTAGGCCTTGTAACTGACTCACCAGCTCTTACTATGGTATGATCTTGCTTGAAGTGAATATATTTGCATCTGCAGGTCTTTGCACTTATTGATAGTCAGCTAAATGATATGTAATGTAATGAGAACTTGGGCTCTGCAGCTAGCAGATAATGAAATCACTGTGCTACTTGACCGAACCTTAAAAACTCTGTTCTTTGTTTCCCCAAAACAGAGCTGGGAATTTAGTTCAGCCATACCCTGCTAACTGCCATTACAGAGCATGTTTGCAATTAGCAGTCACATGCAATCTGGTATTATTTCTTCACTCACATCTGTAAGGCTTCATTTACAGATGTGAGACTTAATGCAAGCTGGCAGCTCTACAGAGTGAACAGGCACAGTAACATTCATTCCCAACAGTATCTGAAAGAAAGGGAGAGTAACATCCAGGAATCATTACTAAGAGAAGAAAATAGTCTGGGGCGGGGTCACAATGTAATGATGTCATGATATGACATACTGTATGCAAATCCCTGATATGAATAAGACAACATACTAACTGCACAGATGCAGTAAAACCCCATAAGTGAGATGCTTCTGAAAAGCACTTGCTTCTTTCATTGAGATATATTGTTATGAATTGTATCTAGATTCCACCGGCTCCGTCTGCGCCGCATTACGGCCGCGTTACGACTGCGCCGCGGCGTTCACAGCTATCGCGGCCACTCTAGTCAATGGGTGCTATTCCACCAGACGCGCAGTGTTACGGCTCAGAAGTGTCCCAGAAGCGTCTCGGCGTTGGGCTCAGATAAACATAGGATGCTGGTCTATTTCCGACGTGACGCGAGGCGTTGCATAGCGCCAGGCAGGAAGTGGACCGGTCAGAGCATCCATTCAATCCCCAAAATAAACACATTTTGCAGACCCTATCCCTCCGCAGTCTTTCAAGTAGGAGGAGAAATGCCAGCGTTCTCCTCCGGTTTACAGGCACTGTGTAAATTATATATATAGAATAATTATGATGATGAATGCATTTTTTTAACCACTAAAATACAGCAACACATCTATGATTCACGTCGTTTATAACTAGACTATTACAATTATTATTAACTTTGTCTGTACAAAGTAGTCTGTCCAGGAAATATGCCCAAATCAACCAAAACTGCGAGCCGGCAGGCAAGACGCTCCGCTTCTGAAATGCTTCTGAAACGCGCCCGGTAGGGTATGACGCCGGACCAAAACCGCGGCGCAGCCGTTACGCGACGCAGACGGACCCGGTGGAATCGAGAGGTTAGAAGGAAAAAATCAGCAGTAGTGAATAACTTAATACATTTACTAAGGTTATTTAAGTAACTAAATACAGTTCCGATAATCTGGTAAAGTATTTCTGTGTTATGCTATAGGCCAATAACCATAACTTTTTAGTGTACAGTACAGTTCAGAGATAAATATTATACTTTTTTAGCCGAATAAGATTTATAAAATAACAAATAATATAAAATACGATACATGTAAATGCAAATAATCAGTATAAAAATACTTTTAACCATCACTAGAGCAATTAATTAAAGTGAATGTATCAGTTATAATAAACACATTCTGTTCTGCTGCATAATGACTATATTAATATACACTTTGCTTGTAATGGCTCTGTACAGTACCTTTACTGCAGAGGAACTTTGAGTGCAAGACTTTTGAATTTCATACAGAATTTCAATACATCATGACATCAAATATTGATTCCAAGTTCTGGAACCAGTCAATATGTAGTTTGATGTTATCCATTAAGACTGTTTAAAACGTTTTTATCTTTCATTTACAGGATAGCAGGAGTACAGAATCGCAGTGCGTCCTAAAAATGAAAATTCTAAATGATTCTGTATTTCTTAAACTGGATACGTCCATCATATGCAAATTAAAGACAATTAGATGTTAAGGGAGCATGTTGCTAAAGAGCAGCTGTGTAGGCTGCTGTGTGTGCTGTGTACATGTGCATGTGTGAGGCGAATAAAGAGGGCTTGATTTTAATCACCGCCAGCAGCCGCCGGTCCCTCTCCATCAGGTCAGCCAGTGCGTGCAGCAGCCTCCCCCGGCTGGACGCATCCATCCTCCGCCACGGAGAGCTCCTCTGCTGGGCCGCCTTGGCCGCCTGCACCGCCTTGTCCACATCTGTCTACGCGGACATGAGGCACCATGAAGTGGAAACAGTCAGGACACAGATCCCCGTATCAACACAGAAAGGCTGTAACACAAGTCTGGCTGTGCGTGACTTTCTGAAATGTTTGACGTTTGCATTTTATTACGTTAAAAGCATGTAAACGGAATGGATTAATAATAATACATTTTGTCTTGAAATATTTCAACTCCCAAGTTACCTCCATTTATCAAAATGTCCAGTAGCGAGCAGTAACAAAGCTATTTTGTAGATATAAAATGATACAGTGAAGATACAATAAGCAACATAAAAATATTCTCATCTTCTTGCTTGAGTTCTGAGGTTATGCAGAGTTAACAGATATTGAAATAGCCAAAAACAGACAAACAATAATAATCTCTTGGTAATTCAGTGTAACAGTATGTAAACCTAAACTTATTTCATTAATAAAATCCAGCCTGCCAAATTCTTACCTTGTCTGCTTCTTCCACATCACATATTTTGACACCTGTCGCCGGGTTGAAAGTTGGAAAAGTCCTTCCACTGCTAGATGAGAGCCATTCATTGCCGATAAAGATCTGTGGGAGGAGAAGAGTGTGCACAGGCTTTGGTGTGTGCTTCACAGGCACCTAAATATAACTATCATCATCAAAATATAAAGTAAAAGTTCTTAGCCATGTCTGAATCAGGTGAACCCCCCACCTTACCTTAGTGTGTCTGATCTCCTGAGCTGTGACAGGGGCAGGTAAAGCTGGGATATCTTCAGCCACTCCGTTCTCTGGGGTTCCATTCTGTGCCATTCTGGCTCAGCAGTCCAGTCTACTGCAATGCGAGCCCATCCACTGGCTCTTATAGGACTGTGGAGGTCCTCCCTCCTCATACAGCAGCTCCGCCCTCAGCTCACACATGAGGGGGTTCTACTCTTACAGCCATGGGACACTCTTCCATGCACCTGCTGTTACATACCTACTTAAAATGTCCAGTCATGACTCATGACACGGGAAATACATGTAGTGCATTTTCTTTTGTATTTTAACTGGTAAGATGAGCAAGCATTCACAAGCTGTCTGTGGGGTACCTTTCAAAGAGTACAAGGAAAACCAGAGGTAAAAGGTCCCACTCGTCTTTCAGTCCAGGCAGTGAAAGTAGCAAGACTGAGTTCATTCTGCTGCACATTGACATAACAGCACAGCGGCTCTGTCTGGTTCTGTGGAGCGACTGCAGGCTGCTCATCAAAGCTCTATAAGTTGTAGGTCTTTGCACCTGGGCCTGGTGAAGCTGAATGGATTTGAACACATGCAAACACATGCTTTTGTTCTTGAGGACAAAGCTGCTTGCCTGCTCCGGGCTTGCACTCATACACAGTCTGCTATTGTTTCGCCTTCATCACTTCATGTGTCAAAGTTACGTCAAAGTTTAATTAGGACAACAGGCTTTCGCAGGCTCATTTCTCACTTTCTAACACTTCATGATGAGAGAGAGAGACTCAAAGGGACAGTGTGAGGGGGGGGGGGGGGGGTAGTACTTGGCAGGTTAAGCCAGGAAACAATGCGAAATGCAAAGCATGGGCCAAGACCCATGCAAATAAGCAGCAACCTGCACTATAGCTGAACAAGGTTTAACAGCATGTGAGAGATCAACACAGCCACCATGAATGTTCTAAGTTTGACCATCAAAAAGTCTTCTTTTGAGTTCATATGGTTTTCTTTGTTACATTGTATCAAGTGTAGAAAAAAGAGCATTTGTTTGGGCCTTTTTTCAGTGGATTAACCCACATTTTGTTCTATAGGGAGTATTTGTGGCAGCAAGTGATTTATGTGGGATTGAGTTAAAATAAAGTACAGTGTGTGTGTTCAAGAGTGTTTGTTCATTGTAATACTGGAAAAAGCCCCCAGTGCATGAGTTTTTAACAACAATGGACCTCTATGGCTCAGAGGAAGATGATAAATCAGGCTCTTATACTGACACAGAACTGTTTCTATTGGGTTTAACAATGATTGGATAACAAGTACGAGCTGTCTGAGTTTTGTGATTTGTTTTTTAACTTTGTGTTCCCAAAACACTTTGTTCCCTTCCGAAATATTTCAAAATAAATGTACTAATGGCTCAAGTGTCAAATAATGTCATTTTAATGTATAATTTGTAATATAATTACATACAATAAAATATATGAGATACTTTAAAACGCAGTGTATGTATATTTCACATTCATAAATGACCCTTTTGTCAGGCTTTTATTGAATTGTGTGTTGGGTAATATGACTCAGGAAGCTGTGAGTGTAACAGCAGCTCTTCTTCTGTACTCCTTCCGCCATTACAGCCTCCAGGCGGAGAAATTAACAGCCAACAGGGGATGATGCACTTCGCCCATGCGGAATGTAAAACCTCTGAGTACAGTAGTAGGTGGTTGAGTGTGTGGGAGTTTAGTTTATGAGTTCTTAAAGAGAATGTTACTAGAAATTCTAGTTTCAATTTGATGTTCTTGCCGATTGTTTCAACTTATTGATTCTGAATATCTCATCTGCAGAATAAATGTACCATGGGATATCATTCAAGAAACATTGTCTATGCAGGAGGGGAATACTATATTGTAGAAAGTCACGTAAACATTAGAAGTACTACTCGCAATAAACCATTTTTTTTTTAAAAACCTGATTTATGTATATATCATTAAAACTTGCAAAAGCTACTTTAACATGATGCATAATGGACCAAGGTGGATAACATAACATCTGTATCTTTTTTAAATATTTGTTGTTGTTGGCCGGAACAAAAAACAGTGCAGCGTAAATCATTATAAATGAATTAGCTTGGTGACCTAGACCTATAAACCAGCATAAGTAGTCAATATGATATAAACAAATAATGATGATGTATTTTGATGTTACTGTCATGCTCATTTATACATAAAGACACATAATAATATTAACGATGTCTTTTTTCTTAATACACCCAACAGCAAGAAAATGTACAGCCTCAGCATGAGTTTGAGTGAATTCAGAAGAATTAAAAAACAACTCAATTAAAAGCCAAAGAAGCTATGAACTAAATGTATAACAATTAAAACAAGAAATAAAGAAATAATAAAAATGTAATTAGTTCAAGGCATGGGATTCATTCCAAGGAAATAAATGATATCCTTTATTTAAGGATATCATTTATTTGAATAAAATGTATTTTAATGTTTAAACAAATTAAATTAATATGAATGACTTCTTTCAGAGACTTGATAATCAGAAATCCCCAATATTTAGTAAAAGGGAACCCTAAATATTCAAAGAAAAAAAAAAACATATGGTTAAATAATGCCTGCCCTCAGAGCAAACAAAAAGCAACACTGCCCTGCTCTCAAATATAACACACACACCTAACTTAAAAGGGAGAGGGGGAGGGAAGAAGGTGAAAACAAATCAGAGAGAGGAGAGAGAGAGAGAGAGAGAGAGAGAGAGAGAGAGAGAGAGAGAGAGAGAGAGAGAGAGAGAGAGAGAGAGAGAGAGAGAGAGAGAGAGCTCTGTCCAGGTGTTCACAGCCAAACAAAGGCTCTTTTCAGGCCTGATGAGAACAAACTGCTCCTGCACTTGTTGCAAAATATACACGCAAGATAAAAGAGCCCAACTCAGAGAGAAGCTTATCTTCTGTTACCATACCAACATTTGGACCACGGGAAAGCTTACCCAATTACATGAGCCTCACTGCTGCCAGTAAACAATAGTGAGAGCTGAGGTCAGATCTCTGAACCATTATAATACTCAAACTGTCTTACATTGCAGTCGCAGTAAGTATCATTTGTTTAAAAGTTCTTGCAGGATCTAATTTGAAAGATACTTAGAAGAGAGAGGCAAGTGTGGGTAAATAAGGGTACAGTACAGCAAACCTTGCCTTATTGAAATGTCGTCTGTTTACAACTCATTTGTTACATTCAAAGAAACATAATACCAGTGGCGGCTGGTGGAATGCTTTCTAGTTAGGGCTGTGCCACATGCAATCAATTTCAGCAAACATCCCAGTATGACTTAATGCAACAACAACCAGGAGTTTTCAGTGTTAATTTACAAGTCTTACATTTGAATGCCTCCATAAACAATTTAAGCATTTGAGACTGAGGACGATTGTTACGTTCCCTCTAAATCTAGGGGTACCAAGGGAAGTAACAAAACACAACGTTGATCAGGCACGAGAAAAAAGAGAGGAAACCGTTCTCTGGCGTCACGAACAGGCCTTTTAATAGTCAAAAAAAAAACACGGGCTGCTCACCAGCTAACTTGCACATTAAACTAGTGTCCCATACCCAGGAGCACATCTCTTATTGATCTACAGAACACAGGTTGTACGCATGCAGCCAGAGGAGGAGAATGGGGGATCACTGCAGTCTTCCTCCGGTCCTATATGGAGGCCCTGATTGGGAATTGGGAGCACCTGGGGCGAGGCTGCACCTGGGGACAATCAGGCTGCACCTGGGGAGTCAGAGGGAGAGAGAGAAAGACACACACACAAACACTACGGCACATAATCTTGGAAAGGAAGTTAGTTCCCTGATCAGTCTGCACAACCTTCGGCAACCCAAAGGTGGTAAAATAACTTGGTCAGTGCTTTAATGATGGCGGGTGCAGTGATTTTACGCAAAGGGATGGCCTCAGGGAAACGGGTTGATACACACATCACAGTCAGCAGAAACTGATTACCTGCCTTGGTCTTCGGCAACGGACCGACACAGTCAGCAATGATATGGTCAAAAGGCTCACCAGTAGCCGGAACAGGACACAATGGTGCTGGGGGAACTACCTGATTTGGTTTACCCACCACCTGACATGTGCTGCAAGTTCTACAGAAACACACTACGTCATCTTTCAATCCTGGCCAAAATAAATGTTGAAGGATCCGATCATAAGTCTTAGTCACACCTAAGTGGCCAGATCACAAGTGCTCATGGGCTAACGCCAGAATCTGCTGCCGACAACTCACAGGAACCACTAACTGATAAACGCTGTTCCAATCAACACCTGAACCAACATCTGCATCACTTGATTGGTCAACCCCCCTGGCGCATCAGCACCCATCATCCACAAAAAACAACTGTTTCTTATTGCATTTGTTAGGGTTCTCAGCAGCGCCAAAACACTTCAAGGTAGGATCATCTCTCTGTGCCGTGATGAGCGCCTCACGGGTCAAAGGCATAGCCACCTCTGGAGCAATAGCGACAGGTTCCATTTCCCCATCACACACTGTTGGAGGGCCCTCCACTAATCCATCAACAGAGGTCAACCTGTCGTTAGATAGGGCAGAAACAAGCCAAGAATCAGACAAATCCACATCCTGAGCCTGCTTACGGGCCTGAGCTCTGTTCAAAACACTAACTGCAAATACCTCCGGATGAGTCAGAGCTAGGTTATCATCTACAGCATCAGGAACTGGAACATCAACAACCTCTGGAGTAGGATACACTTTGCCTCCGGTTTTATCGTTTCACATTATGAAATCCACACCGTCGATTGGAAACCTGGGGAGTACGGCAACTGTGAAGAAACCAGTAGCCAGTTTGGACTGGACATGGACATTGTGGAGAGGTGCGGGCACAAAACCCATTTTGATACCTCTTACCACGGCACTTGCATCACAGGCGGACTCAGTACTCGAGGGCAGAGCACTGGCAAGAATGAACGACTGTGAGCCACCACTGTCTCGTAACACAGTAACCTGCTGCTGGTCCTCCACCTTCCCTGATAGAGAGACAAAAGCAGTGGAGATGAACGGCTTAAAACACTCATCAGGCCCCGTTTTAAGCAGAGCAGCAGCAATGCGCTCAAATGCACCAA